CTGAAAAATGGCTATACATAATGTTCTCATACTTAATCTAAAAACTCCATTGAGAGGTTATATAAAAAAAAACTGTGGGAGGTAACTGTAATGTACAGTTTATACTTACCTCTGTAGTATCCTTCTCCATATATATCAATGTAAAAACTCTACTCTCAGCAATAATGCTAACAAGATCCACATTTCAGATCCCAGTGCACTGCTTTACATTGTCTGTAGTCAGCCCTATAGACTCATATGAAGTTGAACAAGGACAGGTAAAAGTATCACCACTCTTAACGGCAGAGATTTCACATCAATGAGTCTAGAGAAGGGCACCATGGAGTAAAGCTGGCCATACACTATAAGGCTAGGGTCACATATCTGCAGCCAAGCACAGAAGCCAATTCATATGAATGGAATGTTGTAGCTGAGGGAAATGCAGGAAAAAAGGTCCCTGCGCCTTTTTAAAATCGCAGCCACATGGAAATGCATGGTGTTTTTGCATCATGTGATTTCCCGCACCTGGAAACACGCAGTAAAAAAAGCAAAGAATTGGGGATTAATGGCACCCCCACGCGGTTGCTAAAAAGAAGTGCATTTTGCCTAAGGGTGTGAAAATGCGTGCGATTTACAGATATTCCCGCACCCAAATACATGTGAAACTAGTCTAACATTTCCCTTGTTCTGTTCCACAGGCTGAACAGGAGAAATCTATGGATTCCCCCATCCCTGCTGGCAATCATTTCCTGACAGCTGGCACCTGCAGCTGTCAGAATGTTTGAATAGAGGCTGCACTGATCTGATTTTTCTGCTAGCATCCTTCCATTTTCAAGTTGAAGACTGTCAGGTGGGATGGTGCTGACAATGCCACCAACGGCTCGAGTTTCAGCCAGTTCATCAGCAATCGGCTGAAATATGCTGCATGGCCAGCTTAAAGTGTTACTAAACCCAGGACTCTGGACTTCCCCGGCCCCTCCGGAGTTATCGGCTTGTGAGGCGCAGGTGGTCGTCACTTCACCCATGTATGGACTTACATACATTAATCGGGGTTGTCCTTGGAAGTATGACAAGGTGTGGGCTCCATGGTTAGCTGGGTAATGCCTTTTCTCCTCTTCCTCTGTGTCCCCCTTTCCAACCACTCCTTTCCCTTTTTCTCTTTTTTTCTGCCCCCCCCCCCCCCCCTTTTTTTGTCCTCTTTCCTTTTCTTTTTCTCCTTTTTTGGGGATTTGCGATTGCTTTTGGTTGTTGTAGGTGTTACAATGCTCAAGTGTGACATCCTATTCAAATTTATTATTTCCTTTTCGGTGTTACAATATATGGATGAATGGTGTGTATTTATTGTTTCTCTCTATTTTAGTCTGCTGTGGATTGTGTTTTGTATTGCATCATGTTGTTTTTGTACCAATGTTGTATTGTCTGTTTTGTCAATAAAGCACTCCACTGATGTTACAAAAAAAAACCAGGACCCTGCATTCACTATATCTGGTCTCCCACAGTACACACTGCATGGAAATGCAATTATTTTAGTAAGTATAAACCGCTAAATACCTTTGCTCTTCAGCAGTATATAGCAGTCTTGTGACTTTTATCAGTGTCCAGCTGAGCACTGGTTAAAGCTTGTAGGGGGGGTTTTCATTCTGCTCTTACTGTCCTATCAGGCTGTATAATCCCTAACTCTCTGTCTGGACAATGTTGATTGGCCCTGTTCTGATCGCATGCATGCTCGCAAAAAGAAAAAAAAAATTCTCTAGCAATACACACTAAACTGAGCATGTGCAGAGTGACTCCTAGAGTCACTATCAGCAGATGGATTGGGGACAGTAGAAGAAGGGAAGGATCTGAGAAGTCAGGAACAAAACAGGAACAAAACAGTCTTTTTACACACTACGGATGATTAACCCCTTAGGTTCCACAAGCATGCTTTACTGCATATACAGATTGATTTTACTGATGTGGGTTAAGTAACACTTTAAGTGGTTTGCACATATCTCCCATAGCACTTTAGAAAACACTACCTTCTTCCTAAATCGTATTATTTTCTGTAATCACCGCAAAGGGGCTTATTGAAAAAGAAAGTACAGAGCGCACCAACATCAATATGCAATATATAGCAACCAGACTTTAGATTACATCAGAGATGAATTCTCGTTAATTGATGTAGGCTGCTGTGCCTGTGCAATGTCTAACTGCATAGGTGTGAGTTAAAGTAGAACTCCAGACAAAACATTTTGGATATATTTAGAACACCATAAGGTTTTTATCCCCCATTCACACCCTTGCGTTAGATTGCTTGTAGCTTGAAAAAGTACATGAGCTTCTTTAGGGCAGAATTGCGTGTTTTTGGCCCAATAGACTTTAATGGGAGCATTTGAAAAACACATGGTGCTTCGATTTAAATGTCTACTTAGAAAAAAAAAATCTCTAAATTGCCTGGCTTTGTGTGAATAGAGCTGTTGTCTGTAGAAGCGGGAGATTTCTCACTTCCTGTATTGTCACTGTGGATGTGGCCACAATCTAACAGTGGCAGGGCAAGCAATCCAATCACTTAGTGAGTGCAGAAAGATTCACATTGCTCCTAAGGCTGGCCATACATTATACAATTTTCCTTTAGATTTACCAAAACCTATAATATGAGGTCAAACCTAAACATTTTACATTCATATTCAATGAGGCAAACCCTTCCTTGCACTACATAGTTGAAGGTAAAACTAAAGGAAATTGAATAAGAAAATTGTACAATGTATGGCCAGTCTAAATTTCCCATTCCATTTATAAAATGTAAGCATTGGTGTGGAGTCAGGGATGTCCTACAGACTCTTCTCTGCTTATACCTGCACAGAGCACTCCATCCCTGGAATCCATACAGTTCTGTAGACACTTATTAGAAATCTAAGATATGAAAACATCACAAACAGCGCAAATAATTAATATATACTAAATCAATACACAAAATAAAAAAAACAAAATATAATAATAATAATAGTCCCACTCCAAAATTCATGAAAAAATGTGAAACAAATTATATATATAAATCACAAGTGCAAAAATAAAAAGATAAGAAAAAATATATTCCAAGAAGTCCTTGTTCCAAAGAAGTGTACTTCCACCAAAAATCAGTGCTTAAACCAAAATATACCGCACTCACCAGATTTTGGTGAAATAAACGCCTTTTAGGTATTTTAGGGATCCTAGACCCTTATGTTAAGCCTCCAGAACTCCACTCCACCACAAGAAACTTTCCTCCAACTTCCAACACCACCAGACTCCTCTTCCCAGAAAAACTCAAGGTAATGTAGAAGAGATAAAAACACATAGTGTGATACTGCAACACCCGGCTTAATATACTAACAAAACACCAGGCCACTCACACTGTATAGGATAGAAAACAGCATGTTTTATTGCCTCCACAGGCGTTCATAAACTCCACAAATGTCAGGATAGTTGAGTAGAAATCCCACAGCCAGCAGCAGATGCCAGTATGACTATTCACCCGTACACAAGATGGCCACCTGGAACGCAGCTCTGCGGCGTGCATTCCACTCACCAGAAGTGACGTAGGACGGCAGACCGGAAGTGCGTCAATATTAGAAATCTGCCTACCATCCGCGCAACAAATGGCACATCTTGTGACAGATTCATGTAACATGGGCTAAATGGTTAGCATTTCCGCCTGGCAGTACTAGGATCTTTGGTTTGAATCCCAACCATGACACCAGAGTTTGCATGTTCTCCCTGTGCCTGCGTGGGTTTCCTCCGGGTACTACGGTTTCCTCCCACACTGCAAAGACATGCTGGTAGGTTAATTGGATCCTGTCTAAATTGGTCCTAGTAGTGTATGTATGAACGTGAGTTAGGGACCTTAGATTGTACACCCCTTGAGGGTTAGGGACTGATGATAATGTACAATATATATGTAAAGCGCTGTGTAAATTGATGACGCAATATAAGTACCTGGAATAATAACTATCAGTAAGATGCTCAGGAAATTATTGCAGAATTGTGTCAGACAGAAGGCCTGAGTGCAGGTAACCGCTCGGATTCATTATTACAGACATGCAGGTGCGGTTTCTGACAGCCTGTTGTTGATTTGTATGGGCTGTTGAACATGACTATATTCAGCACCTGTAGACTTCCAGAGCAAAATTATGCAGGATTCTGGCGCTAACGTGTCCATGACCCCCCTTTTTTTTCATAAAATGTGCATTTTTCTATAAGTGTACCGGTGTTGCTTATACTGTATATTATATACACACACACAGGGGTGGACTGACAACTCATGGGACCCCCGGCCAATAGGGGATCATGGGGCCCCTGTGTACCAGGGGCATCTCAAGGGGCCCCCTGCTGACCCCGGGCCCTCGGGCAGTGCCGAGTTTCCAAATGGTCAGTCTGCCCCTGCACACACATACCCCAACAGAAAGAGAAATGAATATATAAACATCATTCATTTGCTTCCGAAACCTGATTGTCATCATTATATAAGCAACTGACATTCTAATGATTTCTTCACTCGATTGCAGCAGATAAGATCACAACACGGGAAGCCCTCAAGCAACACAACATATTACTTCTCACAACATAGAGGCTTTACCTGTTCTCGCCTTGCTTGCTGTTGGCAGGTGGAGGCTGCAGGATGGTCTGATTTCCTTCCATCTCCACAATGCATTTTGTATTCAGATCCAGTTCTATAAAAAAAAAAAAAATGTTGGGCACATGGTCACCATAATAAGCCCCCAGAAAAATAAAGCACATTCAATGCATACCTTCAATTAATGTAAAGCCAAAACTTTTTCCCCCCGTTTTGAACAGATCGTGTATTTTTTTTGTCATCTATGTCCCATTAGGAAGATTTAATTTGATTTCCTCTCCTGTATGCTCAACAGGAAGTGTGAGGGATATAACCACTTAGACCCCTGGTGGCAAACTGTGGCCCATTGATGTCTGAAGTGTGGCCCTTGTGCCCTAGCAGTCAGTAGAGGGAGCTTTGATTTTTAAAGGGGCCCTTAATAGTAGTAAAGTCTAGTGCACAGGTATCAAACTGGCGGCCCTCCAGCTATTGCCAAACTACAAGTCCCATGAGACATTGCAAGATTGACAGTTACAAGCATGACTCCCAAAGGCAGAGGCATGATGGGACTTGTAGTTTCACAACAGCTGGAGGACCGCCAGTTTGACACCCCTGGTCTAGTGGTTTCATACGACATGTCCCTAGTCTCTGACTGTCTCCTATAGCATGACTTCACTCCTGTAGAACGATCTCCGGCTATTTCCTCTAGCAAGTCTTCCATCTGTGACATATTTCTGCAGCACTACATGTAATCATTACTATATGCAGCCCTTTGGAGACATTGGGGGCCACATTTGAGGCCCCCCATTACCTTGAACAGTGCCGGTACAAGTTCATCCAGCGCCCAGGGCAAAGAAGCCAAACTGCACTCCCCCTTCATTACATGTGAGCTTAGGGGATGCTACCCCCAGCAGTCATCTGCTTGTCAAAATGCCTTGTATCAGAATGAGCTCACCGGTGCCCCATTCATACAGTAAACCGCCGCACCCAGAACAGTCGCCCCTCCTGCCCACCTGACCTTGAAAGTTTACAACCACTGACTTAGACAGTTGTCACTAAAACAAGTGTCCCCATTGGAAGGCTTCCCCTCAGAATTTTTAACTTACCTTTGCTTTCATGACCAGTGACAACAGCGACCAGCACAATTAGAGAAATCAAATCTCCCTAAGACTCCTTTTTTTTAGTAGCACTGTTTGCCATCCCCAAGGAGCAATCTGCGTTGGATTGCTTTTCAAAGGAAGGAAAGAGGAAGTTTTAAAAGGATAAGTGCACCTTTTGGACAAAAATAATAAATGCACATTTTTTTGTAGGTAAAAAAAAAGTGTATTAATTATTTTTCTCTACAGGAGCCTGGAAAGCATTGCACGGCGATCAGTAGATCGCTGATGCCATGCAGGTCTCTTGCAGACCTGTCAGAATATCTGCTTGCCATACGGGATGGTCAAGCAGATATTCTGGCAGGAAGCTTCAATGTACTACCATGGCGCTCCACAGCATTATGGAAGTTTCATTGAAAGCTATAAGCCCACAGCCGCTAAGGCAGTCGGGACTTGAAGTTCATTCATTCACGAACATCTATGAATGAATGACGTGGCCGTGTGGGCAGAGCTCCACACAGCCGCGCTGTTTTCAGATCTGTCAGATAGTATGGAGAGACGTTTCCCCATATTATCTGTCAGAGGGAGGGGGCGGCAGGCACAGCTGCAGCTATGGGAACATTATTATTATTATACAGGATTTATATAGCGCCAACAGTTTGCTCAGCGCTTTACAATATAACGGGAGAAAATACAGCAACAATACAGTTCAATACAAGAGGGTTAGGAGGGCCCTGCTCCTTGGAGCTTCCAATCTAACAGGAACAGGTTACACGTTCCACTCTAAAAACAGGTAGAACATGTAACATGTTCCCAAAGGTGAACTTATCCTTTAACCTCCCTAACGGTATTCCCGAGTGTAGCTCGGGGTAAAATGTCTGTACTACGGCTTACCATGCGGCGCTGCATAGGGAGTCCCTGCAGCACTTACCTTGTCCTTCGCTCCCGCGATGTGTCCCCTGCAGCGTCCCCGGCCATCTCCTCCGGCTGATGTCGGCATCCGGCTCCTGTGTTCCGGTCCCTGTGACGTCGGGACGTACGGGCACCGCCGCCAGCGGGAAATTTGAAAATTTTAAAAAAATTTCATTTTTTTCAAAACGATTTTACATAGTAAAACATTGCTGTTTCAACCCATTTCACATACATTTTGTCCCTAGTGCTTTGTCCTGTCCCCTGTCTGCATTTTGTCTGTTCTTTCTGCCTGGAAACTTAGAAAAGTCTATGGCGTCCAAAAAGTGTCCCTTTAGGTCAAAAGCGGGTTTAGATCAGCTAGAGAACAGCGATAGTAAATCAGAACCACTTGCAGAATTGAGTGATAATGATTCGTGGAGAAATTCGTCATCAGACACTGAAAACGATTTTGCGACTTTGCTGAGCGATGTGTGAACTTGGCGCTATATTTCAAATTTCAGTGTTTTCGGTTTGATTATATTATTGAATTAAATTTATTATTATTATATTATTATTTTTTATGATTATTTATTAAATTATAATTTATGATTTTGTGTTTCAATTTTATCATACCCGGGATGTTTACTAGACTCTTGTTCGCACAGATTTCAGTGAGTTATTCCTAAAAATTACAGCCTACAATAATAAAACTACATATTTCCATGCAAAATAATGGTACCGCTTTGAGCACCAAAAATCTGAAATAATCATACCGCTAGGGAGGTTAAAGCGTTCAGGAGGCAATACTGCTGAACAGGGTCTTTGCACTGCGAGACCACTTTTCAACTGTGACCTAAGTGTTGCATGGGAGAATTTGACAGGTGGTGGCACCTGTCAGACTTGGCGTGTTGTATTAAAGTTGCCACCCTGTGCTGCAAAGCATTGTGACCTCAGCAAGGTGTACTCACCTGAGTGGAACCATAAATGTTCTTTGGTGGGTGGCTGGGGGCAGATCAACCGCTTTTTCTTACCACCCCCCCCCCCCTGGCCCGCAGACTGCAAGGAGCCTAACAGGGACACAGACAGCAATAGAAGGTGACAGCAGGTCTAACCCCTCTCCATTTATTAAAGTCTAAGAAAACAGTTTTGCCTTTAGTTATACTTTAGCCCTGGTTCACACCAATGCGACCCCCAAAGACATGCAACTTTGAGGTCCGACTATGCTGTGCGACTTCATTGCGACTTGCTGCAACTTCAAAAATACATGTCAATGCAATGAAATCACACAAGAATAGTGCAGGAACCTTTTTTGGAGTTGCAGCGATTAGAACGGGGCCATGGAAAGACATGGAATGTGACTTGCCATGCAACTTTAAAGTCACATGTCACATTGTTTTGAAGAGGGGCTTAATCATCTTGTCAGGACAATCTCATAATATTTCCCCAGCACATCATAAATGAGAACTAAACAGCTGACCAACACAATGTTTGCAACTTTGTATCCTGTATAAACCTAATATTGTTCTCATCTCTAGGGGTGGACTTGATCCTGCTGCAGTAGTCAGGCTTGTTAAACAAAACCCTTCTCTACTGAAGCTACCATGTGAGGTTGGAGTTAAGGTTGGCCCAGATGGGCATTTGCCATTGGGGGCATCTGGCTGTCCTTGAAGATGGCTGTATACTATGCAATCTGATTGTACAATTTCTACCAAAACTATAGGAGGACAAACTTATCCACTTCCCGTCTGGCTCATGTACATAAACGGCCGGACGGGAGCAGTGCAGGAGCGGGTTGCCATTCATAAACGGCGCCCGCATTTTCAGCCTGGGAGTGCGCGGCACCGCGAACACCGATCACTGAACGGGACCTCTGTGTGAGGTCCCGATCATGTGATCACTGATTGGCCAATCAATAATCACATGAATAGAATAAGCAAGATGTCACTTCCTGACATCATTGCTTACTAAGTGTGAAATCTGTGAATGATCACAGAGATCACATGGTACAAGGTTATTCACAACAGCCTTGTACCATGTGACAAGCTGTGATCAATCACAGCTCTCACAGTATTTCTCAATGGCTGCAAGAATGCAGCCAGAGCGAAGGATAAATTATTGCTTTTACAGCCTTTATGGGTGTAAAAGCAATCAGTGTAAAAAAAAAAAAAATCTTCATGACCCCCCCACAAGTAGCACAGTGTCACTATGGTGACACTGTACTGCTAGGGGTGACAGTATGTTAAAGGAACAAAAAAAAACAAATAATATAAAAAATAAAAAATTGTAAAACAAATTTTGAAAAATTATAATTTTTGGCTAGAAACTAATTTGGGTTATTTTTTTTTACTAAAAAGATAGCTGAATACATTTTGGCCAAGATTTATAAAAAAAAGATAATTTATTTTCAAAATGTTATAAGAAAAAACACTTTTTTTTTCAAAATGTTTTAACTTTTTCATTTATATAGTAAGAAAATAAAAATCCCAGAGGTGACTAAATACCAACAAAATACAGTTTTATCTGTCTCAAAAAAGACGCTAAAAAATGTATATGGGTACAATGTTGCATGACCCGCGCAAATGTCATTCAAAGTGTGACAGCACTGAAAGCTGAAAATTGGCCTGCACAGGAAGGGGGTGAAAGTGTCTGGACCTGAAGTGGTTAAACAATGCTTTCACTTTGTATCCAATCAGGCAGGCCATCATACTACATAGTTGATGGTAGATCTAAAAGGAGTACAATCAGACTGTACAGTACATGGTCACCTTAAAAGCAATGGGACCCCATGCATGAACTGTATCACTCTGATTATGGACCAAATCAGCTCTCATGCAGTAAAAGTACTTCCTTCCCACCCCTCAATGACAAGGGACTGACCCCATGGCACAGAGCTGGGAAAGCTCATGACAGTCTGGTAGCCCTTAATGGCCCAAGCATTGGGCTGTCACATCAGGGTGAGGATCATCAGTGTCAATGGGACCTGTATCCAGACACCACACTGCTGTCCTGTCAAAGCCCAGCTTGAGAAAGAAAAGCAAAATCACCACCAACAAATGTTTGTCTTTGGTGCTGCAATCTCAGTGCTGTCAGAACTTGGCTCTGGGACTGAAATGTTCTGAACTCATTACATTATGTATACAGATGTTAATACAGCATTAGGGAGGAGGTGAAGGGTAAAGCAGGGGTATCAAACTGGCGGCCCTCCAGCTGTTGCGAAACTACAAGTCCCATCATGCCTCTGCCTGGGATTGGGAGTCATGCTTATAACTGTCAATCTTGCAATGCCTCATGGGACTTGTAGTTTGGCAACAGCTGGAGGGCCACCAGTTTGACACCTGTGGGTTAGGTGATGATTAGTGTGAAGGGTTAAGGGGTCACTTTAAGGGACAGGTTAAGGGGGAGTTTAAGGGAAGGAATATGATTCACACATTCACGTTGGAAACATCCTAAAACGCATGTGCCATCAAAAGCAATGTTATGGATGGAGCCAGTTCACATCTGTGCATTCTGCTGTAGTGCGTTCATGAAAATAGTTCAGATCCATTTATTTTTGTTTCCTTTCGAGCCCCATAGAAGTCAATAGCAAGGCTTGAAAACATGTGTGATGTGTTTTCAGTGCCTGGTAACAAGCATAAATAGTTCTTTTATTGGTCAACATGAAAATCACAACGCATGACAACCTATTAAAAATGCATGTCCAGACGCATTGAAAGTGGAAATGCAAAGGTGTGAACCTAGCCTAATGGTCAGGATTTGGGAAAGGGTTAATTTTAGATTTCAGCTAACTGCTAATCAGCAACTTTAAGGGTTAAATCCTAGCATAAGTCTATTGTGAGGATCAGGCTAAGAGGGGGAATAGGTTTAATGCTGGGTGTTTGAATACGGGTTCAATTTGGGGTTTAGATCATGTTCAAACATTACATATTAGGTTAGCTGTTAAGGGTTAATTTAAAGGGAAAGAGTTGTATTAAATGCTAGTATTAGGATAAGTCTTCATTTTAAGGATTAGAGAGAAGTGATGTGATTAAAGGTCACAATTTTGGGTCAATTTTAGATTTATGTTCATGTTAAGGGGGAGTTGGGTTAAATGTTAGCATGTTCATTTTAAGGATTCTGTTTAGAGATGGCATATGATTTCAGGTCAGGATTTAGATTTTGGTTCCCTGTTAATAGTTCATTTTAAGGGTTAGGGTGAGGTAGGTGAAATGCTAGAGTTAGGTTACGTGTTCTTTTTAAGGATCAGGCATAGGCTAGGTTCACACCTATGCAGGTTGAATTTGAGCCGTTTCTGCATTACGTTTTTTTTGCGCCTGTCCTTCTGACGCGTTTTGCATTTTTTTCTGGTTGCTAGGCAGATTTAAAACAACTCAAAAATGCTGCAAAAATGCAATACATGCTTTTCTGCAGCATTTTTGTTGAAGTCTATAGAACCAATAATGCAACTTTTTTTTGTTAAAAAAAGTCCCTGACCCTTTCCAAAGAAACACACCGAGCGAAAACGCACAGATGTGAACATGTGCCATAGGAAATCATGTTTTTCTGCAAAATGCTTACATGTGAACCTAGCGTAAGAAAAGGGATACAAATGCAACTCTCAGGATCTGATTAGGAGGTCATATCCAAATAGTATGTGCTAGGTTAAGTGTTAATTTAAAGGGAAAGAGTTGTATTAAATGCTAGTATTAGGATAAGTGTTCATTTTAAGGTTTAGAGAGAAGGGATATATTATTAAAGGTCACAATTTGGGTTAATTTTAGATTTAGGTTCAAGTTAAAGGGAAGTTGGGTTAAATGTTCGCATGTTCATTTTAAGGAATTGTATACAATTTAAGGTCAGGATTTGGGTAAGGGTTCATTTTAGATTTTTGGTTCCCTGTTAATAGTTAATTTTACGGGTTAGGGTGAGTTAGGTTAAATCTAGGGTTAGGATACGTGTTCACTGTAAGGGTCAGGCTAAGAGGAGGGATACAATGTAACTCTCAGGATCTGATTAGGGGGTCATAGCCAAATATTATGTGCTAAGTTAAGTGTTAAGGGTTAATTTAAAGGGAAAGAGTTGTATTAAATGTTAGTATTACGATAAGTGTTCATTTTAAGGTTTAGAGAGAAGGGATATATTATTAAAGGTCACAATCTGGGTCAATTTTAGATTTAGGTTCGAGTTAAGGGCAAGTTGGGTCAAATGTTAGCATGTTCATTTTAAGGGTTTGTATATGATTTAAGGTCAGGATTTGGGTAAGGGTTCATTTTAGATTTTGGTTCCCTATTAATAGTTAATTTTAAGGTTAGGGTGAGTTAGATGAAATGCTAGGGTTAGGATACATGTTCTCTTTAAGGATCTGGCTAAGAGGACGGATACAATGTAACTCTCAGGATCTGATTAGGGGGTCATATCCAAATAGTATGTGTTAGGTTAAGTGTTAATTTAAAGGGCAAGAGTTGTATTAAATGATAAGTGTTCATTTTATGGTTTAGAGAGAAGGGATATATTATTAAAGGTCACAATTTGGGTCAATTTTAGATGTTGGTTCCCTGTTAATAGTTCATTTTACGGGTTAGGGTGAGTTAGATGAAATGCTAGGGTTAGGATACGTGTTCTTTTTAAGGATCAGGCTAAGAGAAGGGATACAATGAAACTCTCAGGATCTGATTGGGAGGTCATATCCAAATAGTATGTGTTAGGTTAAGTGTTAAGGGTTAATTTAAAGGGAAAGAGTTGTATTAAATGCTAGTATTAGAATGTGTGTTCTAAGGATCAGGCTAATAGGAGGGGTACAATGTAAGTCTCAGGATCTGATTAGGGGGTCATATTAGGCGTTTGGTTATGTCCAGAGAGTATGTATGAGGTTAAGGGTTAATTTAAAGGGGCAGAGTGGGTAGGCTGGAGTTGTGAGAGGTGAGAGGTCAGGGACATTCCCCCATAGAAGCTCCCACTTGTTTTCACCAGCAGACACCCAGATCCAGCCTCCGCCCCACAACTTCTGCGAAGTTTTCTCCTCTTTGCTGACTTCCAGGACATGTCACACCAAGTGTCCCCATCCTCAGCCCTGACATCCCATGGCAGGTTCCCTCCGGAGTCTGTCTCGGCACACAAGGGGTTACTTCCCCGATATAAAGCCCCCCACCTCCTCCTCCTCCCCGGTGATTACCTCTCCGGTTCATGGGCCGGACTCTGACGGCCACTTTCACCTTGCTATCCGACATTTTACCATCCGATCAGAGGACGATCCTGCGGGATGAGCAGCCCCTCCACCGCGGGGCCACACAGTGTCCGACTCCGATCAAGTCTTCCTAGAGCTCCTCACATCGGACAGGATGAGTCCACCGGGGAGATCGGCCATCCCGCTGCAGGCCGGAGCACAGATCCCTTCCCCCGGGGGTCCTAGGATGAGCGGAGGACTCCCAGCCCTGCTCCTGACGCCATTACCATCTCAGTGCAGCCTGCTGGAGCCGCTCTATGGCTGGGCTGCCGCTGCCAGGCCGCCCCTCCCTCCTCCTCCTCCTCCTCCTTGTCTGGGATCCAGGCTCCCTCCATCCACACGAGGAGGAAGGACACAGGATGCCACCTACAGGACACTCTGCCCACCTGTGCCATGGCACTGCCAGGAGGACGCCGAGTCCATGCTGTACCCCTGGACCAGCCTCCCCTCTGCTGGGTCTCTTCTCTTCTTTATTATTCCAGATTACTTCTATTGTAACAATGAAAGAGGATACATGGATTCCTGTGTTGCATCAAAGTACAACTACAGACTAAACTCTTGTTTGGATCGAGCAAGTGGGGAATATAACCCTGACTTTTTTTCTTTTGGTTTAGGATCATTTTGGTAAATAAATCTATTTATTCAGTCGTATCCGCCCCTTGGTGATTGCATGGACCGTCACTCGCAAGCCACTTCTTCCATGAATTCTCTTCGCAATTATTTTACAGGGTAGGTTGCCAGATCTTCCCCAACCCCTACCATGCAGGCGATCCCACACGGCCACCGGCCAGGGATGAAACTAGACGGTAGCCAATTAACCTACTAGCATGTCTTTGGAGTGTGGGAGGAAACCAGAGTACCCAGAGGAAACCCAAGCGAACACAGGGAGAACATTCAAACTCCATGTCGGAGGTGCGATGGTTTGGAATCAAACTCATGACCAGGGGCGGACTGACAACTCATGGGGCCCCCGGGCAATAGGGGATCATGGGGCCCCTGTGTCATTGCCCGAACACAAAAAAGCCTATGAAAAAGGTACCAGGGGCATCTCATGGGGCCCCCTACTGACTCTGGGCCCTCGGGCAGTGCCCAAGTTTCCAAATGGTCAGTCTGCCCCTGGTCATGACCCAATTACTGCAAGGCAGAAGTGCTAACCACTAAGCCACTGTGCCGCCCAAATAAGTAATAATAATAATGAAAAAAAAAAAATATATATATATCCATTCAGTCGTATCTGACCCTTGGCGATTGCATGGAGTGTCACTTGTAAGCAACTTTTTCCATGAATTCTCTTAGCAAATCTTTTTACAGGGTAGGTTGCCAGGTCTTTCCCCAACCCCTACCATGCAGGAGATCCCACATGGCCAGGGATGAAGCTAGGACAATTTAGACAGGAGCCAATTAACCTACCTGCATGTCTTTGGAGTGTGAGAGGAAACTGGAGTACCTGGATGAAACCCACACAAGCACAGGAGAGAACACGCAAACTCCATGCAGTAGGCACCATGGTTGGGAATCGAACCCATGACCCATTTACTGCAAGGCAGTCATGCTGACCACTATATATATATATATATATATATATATATATATATATATATATATATATATATACACACAAAAGTATTGGGACGCCTGCCTTTACACTGCCTTTGAACTTTAATGGCATCTCAGTCTAATGCAGGCCATACACGGTTCGAATTCCAAACGATTTTTCATCCAAAAATCAAAACGTCATTCGTTGTGTAATCCAATGGTGCCACCAATGATTTCGAAAATTGGCAGTTTTTCACGAATTTTCCAGCACACCCAATAAACAAAATTGGGGAGGAACCACGAAAATCGACCAATGCCATTGCCCCACTAATAGAGTGAAAATCAGCAAATTATTCTTGGGTACGATTTTCATAGGAAAATCATTCGGAATTTGAACCATGTATGGCCTGCATTAGCCCGTAGGGTTCACTTTTGAGTTGGCCCACCCTTTGCTGCTTTAACAGCTTCAACTCTTCTGGGAAGGCTGTCCACAAGGTTTAGGAGTGTGTTTATGGGAATGTTTGACCATTCCTCCAGAAGAGCATTTGTGAGGTCAGGCACTGATGTTGGACGAGAAGGTCTGGCTCACAGTCTCAGCTCCAATTCATCCAT